AGCATGAGTTCAGAGCATCTATGTACCAAGTTTCATCAAAATCCAATGAGTGGTTGTTTAGATATCAGTGGAACAGTCATGGAACCACTAAAAAATAGCTAATTATCATGCAAATTAGGTAATTAATATGCACGGATTTTTACCAAAAATTAATCAAATCTGCGCATATGTTCAGAGCATCTATGTACCAAGTTTCATCAAAATCCAATGAGTGGTTCTTTAGATATCAGTGGAACAGTCATAGAACAGCTAAAAATTAGCTAATTATCATGCAAATTAGGTAATTAACGAGCATGGATTTTTACCAAAACCTAATCAAATCTGCGCATTGGCCCAGAGCATCTATGCACCAAGTTTTATCAAAAACCGATGTATGGTTCTTGAGATAGCAGTGGAACAGTCGGACACACATACACACACACACACACATACACACATACACACATACACACACACATACAGACACACTAACTGCAAAGACTCCCATTTTGTGCTTCGCACATGGGAGTCAAAAAGTAATTTACTTCCCATGGTTCAAGATTTGATCAGGCCATAATAATTTGACGTTTGAATACATTTACATGGCTAACAAGTTAAGCCATTCATGCATGCTATGTGAGCACTTATTGAAGAGATCTCCAATACTTGGACAGCACATATATTTAAGGTGGCGTGGCAGGGGTGGAAGTGGAATCTCCCTTTTTCAACTTTTTATATAGCAGAAATGTCATTGTTGAGTGAAAATTTCAAAATTCTATTGTGGGTAGAACACCTTTGAACTCTGTTGAAATATGATTATGATGATTGTTTAACATTGAATATATAGAGATATTGCTCTGGAACAGCATTAATTTATTGAACATAATCAGTCAAAGCATGCCAGAGATATGGCTCTAGAAGCCCATTCATTAAAAAACAAGTCATTGTCAATGACACGTCCCCGTTCCGTTCATATTTGAGTGACATGTACCGTATTTGTCTTCAATTAGGCGCCACTTTGTTACACTTTCATGTCATGGTGGCGCTTATTTGTGGTTAAATTTGAGCAACTTTGTTTCAAATGGCGCTTATTTCAAGCACTTCAAGTTCTAGTACCGGTAATTGTGTTACAAGCCATTGTTTTTGCTCCATTCTGGTGATAGATTATTGACAATATTTTACATTACAGTCTGACGCTTAGTCACTGTAGCCTTTATTTTAAATACTGAGTAAATGACCCGTTTTCAGACAGTTTAGAAAGTTATACAAAAAATATCATTCTTTAGAAAACATTCACAG